GCATTAATCTATAGTTATAACAATAAGCCATTAAGAGTCAGTTTAGTATGATAACTATTTAGTAGAAAATTAGTATTGGGCTCTCTACTGTGTCCTGGGTCCTGTTTAGCTTCAGAGAACTGATTAATATTTTGATTTTATACTCATCAGTGCCAAAAATGCCACTTTGCATAAATAGTATAAAATGGTAGAAGTGCGTTTAGGGTCATTTCAGAAATTGTCAGAAATTCTGTCCTAATACCAAATCAAATTTCAACCAATGATTTTTTTTTTAATGAAACTCAAATCAGCAGCTCAAATAGCAATTTTCAACATTCTAAGATAAGATACTTCAACAAATTTTAATTTATGAGGAATGGCAGCAGGAAATTTTTTAAAGCCTTTAGTTTCTGCAAACCACTGTGCTTCAGTAAGAGCAGAAAACTTCATATACACATCAAAAACAGTGTAATTCATAGCACACAGCAGTTTTGAGTCTGAGCTGAGATGTTTTAGGGAGCATTGGTTTGCATGGTGAGGTAAGGGCATGCACCATGTTATGCGCACATGTGTGTTCAGAACCAAGGCCACAGTGAAGTCGTGATGCAACACAGATCAGCATTGCCAGGATCACCTTGGATTCATTATGCACGTGATTTTGAGTTACTCTTTGGTCATTGCACATTCAGAAAACTTTCATTGTTGCCGAACTTTTCACAGCCCCCACAATGACTTCATGACCCCTGATTTGAGAGACTGGAACCTAGGCAGTGACAGAGAGGTAGGAAAGTAAAGTCAAGAGCACAAACTCAAGGACCAGACTGCCTTCAACTGAAACCTGACTTTACTCACTACTTTCCTGTTACTCTGGAAAACCACCCTGATCAAAGCAACTTATAGAAGAAAGAGTTTACTTGGCTTAGTGTTCTAGTGAGATAAGAATTCATCATGGTGTGGAGGCATGGCAGGAGGAAGCTGGAACAGACAGCCGAGGACTCACAACTTCAAGCAGGCACAGGAAACAGAGAGAGACAACCAGCAGTGGGCAAGGCTATGAACTCTCAAAGTGGACCTCAGTGTTGTGCTCCCTCCAGCAAAGCCACACCTAAACCTCTGCAAACAGTGCCACCAGCTGGGACCAAGGGTTCAAATACTTGAGGCTATTTTGTCATTCAAACTACCACACTGACTTTACCATATACTCTCATTGCCTTAGTCTTCATATCTGTGCAATGGGGACACCAATAACAGCTTCTTCAGAAAGCTACTATGAAAATGAACTAACAGGTATGCACAATAATTCTAAGGAAACGTACTGCTCACATCATAAGCTGCAAATCAGAGTCATTATAATTATGATTTTGATAAAAAAATCTATTATCTTTAAATTTGTTGATTTTGTGTGTGTGTGTGTATATCACACAGAACATCCCAAACCATCTTATTCAACTATACATCCACTTCCCAGATGGCACCCTCCCATAGCCTCCCTCCCCCCACTAGAGCCCTTACACTCTGATATTGCTGCTACTGTCCGTTGTCTTGTCGGCACCCCAGCCATTCCCCACTACTTGTCCATCTGGTGAATCTAGTCAGCCTATCTAGAGGTCTTTGTTTTAGGAAGGTCAGCTGTTCCTCATCTAGCAGCAATCAGTTGTCAATATTCCTTTAGATAAGATTGGGGTGTGTTGTTCATTTTCCCAGTTCTATGCTGGGTTACTATCTGGGAGTCCCTTTGGCCACCGTGGCCAATAACTCAAAAGAAGGTATCTCCTATCTGGCATTGTTGCTTGTTATGTAGCCTTTAGCTATACACATGGACTCTTAAAAAATTATATTGGCCCCTTTATTCTTTAATTATACCTTCCTTTTGGGTATTTAAGGCCATACAATTGGCCCAGATAAACCACTTTATTTTTACTCTTAAGGCTGTTTGAGGATCTGTTCCTCAGGGGTCACATGGGCTTGGGAGGAGTCCCTGGCTCCTTTCTTTTACCAGTTCCGTCTATGTGAAGATAAGGCAAAGGTCCTGCTTGACCATGGTTGGCTTCACTTGGAAGCATGGAGGAAATGATTCCTCTGTGTTGACCCTCCTCTTTATAGACTGGACACTGGTTCAAGTCCATCTGGTGGGGTCTCCTCAGCCTCCTTGATCAAGAGGACAGGTGACCCACCACCATTACAAGACATTTTGACAGATGCTCATAGTCCCCTGGAACTAGTCGACCTAGGAGGGCAAGGAGCATAACCTGTCCTTTATTTCCCCCTGACCAAATTATTATAGGCCTCACAGTATGTCTGTTAAACATCCAAGAAGGTTAGTTCCACCAGTCTGGTACTTTTAATTACTGTGTGTCATCTAGTACTGACTCTGACTTGCAATGAACAGCTTTCTTTGAACACTCTTTCAGTATTGAATAAATATGGTTGTTCCTTTGGTACTATCCTGGGGTTGGACTTCCTGAGTTTGTCCCTGTCAGGTATATGGTAAAATTGAGAGACTGAGACAGAGAAAGCTCCATTCAAGGTGGCAGAACCTTCTAAGGGAGTATCAGTATTGTTACAACCTAAGTCTCCTGCCAGACAAACGAAATTCCTGTGACTGGTACAAGTCCCCCAGGGCCAACATCTAATAGTCATGAGAACAGGTGCTCCATGAACCAGTGCTCATTCTCAGAACTGCCTCGTCAAATTCCCAGCCATGGGAGTACGCATCAGGAAACTGAAGGTTTTGGATCTTAGCTAGCACAATTTACAGAATCTGCTATTGTTTGGAAGTTTAGAGTTTCATCCATTGGGCCTGTGGACAGTTTGCTTAGAAAACCATCTGATTTCTGAGAGTATAAAATATCATAATTGAATCAGGTGTGGTGGTACACACCTTTAATCCTCAAGAAGCAGAGGCAGGTAGATCTCTATGAGATCAAGGCCAATCTAGTTTACATAGCAAGTTCCAGGCCAGCTGGGACTGCTAGAGAGACCCTGTCTCAAAATAAATGAAATAAAAATTGGAAATGATCTCCCTTGAATGTCTGTTGTTGGTTGTAGGGCCAGGTGTTCTTGCCTTAGCTGCATTCTCAAGCACATATCTAGGCTGCATTATTTTGGGTTATGTGTCAAGGTTTCTATATGTCTTCTCCTTAGCTTGGTGGTATTGAGTTTACATTATGGGGCCTTACATAAAATACGTCCAAGAAAGAAGACAGAGAATGAATTATAAATCTATAAATGTAATACTGCCAAAGAATGTCTGTGCCAGCTTCAAATTCAATATTCTCTCTTTTTTATAATTCTACCTCTGAGTCCCTGAAGTCATTTTCCTGCTTAAAATGTTTTCTTCTGTGTTTTCCAAAAAAAAAAAAAGAACAAAACCAACTCGAACTTGTTCATTCTGAGCTTATTAATAACCTCATATTTTAGCAGGAGAGCAGTGTTCTGACCATTTGGTTAGAGTTTTATGCATATACTATCTTTTCTTATTATTTACATAGGTTCAAATAATTTTGACACATTGGGATTCCTCTTGGTTGAATCTAAAATCTCATCTTGTATTATAAATACCTAGAAAAACTGAGTAGAAGTGGGAGCTATAATCCCAGGATAGATTTTGCCTATTATATACTATCATACCCATTCCAAAAAGTTATGAAAGAACAACTGGTAACCTAAATAAAATTTGGAATCAAGGTGGCTGGATATTAGATTGTATTTAATAATGAACAGGGAAAATACAGATAGATGTTTTAGCTAAAGCTAACTAAAAGGAAAAAAGCTGCAGAGAATTGTGGTCAAACCATGTTCTCCCTCAGTACAAAATTGGAGGTAGGAACTCAATAACCTTTTGCTGTTGTTTCTTTAAGGAATATTTCCTTTAATAGGATCCTTGGTTAAAAAGAAGTTCCTGATATTTTTTTCAACTAAAGCTAGTATCATTGCTACATTTATACAAAACAAGCTTGTGAACCCCAACCATTTGGATTATGAAAAATAATATGATTTTATTTTATTTTTAATTTTTTTCATGTATTTATCTGTATATTTCATTTATTTAACTGTATATTTTGCCTGTACCCTTGTCATGCAATGCTAGAAGAAGGCATCAGATCCCCTGGAACTGGAGTTTCAGACAGTTGTTAGTTGCCCTGTGGGTACTGGGAACCAAACCTTGTTCCTCTGGAAGAGCAGCCAGTACTCTTAACTGCTGAGCCATCTCTCCAGCCCATGTTTTTATTGCCTACATCGACTGTCCATACAAAGTTACCTCCCGAACAAATGGTACACACATAAATATATCAATTTTTTTAAAAATTCTACCATTTTACCATTAAATAAGGCTTTATTGTTAATTACACAGGCACTAGAACTGTGTATTTGTAAAAATATACATTTTCCAGACACTTTCTCTTTACACAAATTCAAAATCCAAAAGATCATGGATAAATTCTCTGCCAACTCAATTGGACTTTGAATCACTTTATTTTTGCAAATTAGGGTAATGCCAAGATTGAAAATTCCTGCTGTAGAAAACAAATCACGGTGAGACTAACAACAAAATATCTGGGACACTTGGTTTGACCAGCCAAATTCCTGTTCCATCCTGGATTCAAATGAAGCTAAATCCAGAAATCTCAAGTCCACAGTGGACATTTTCACTTGTTTATTCTAAAAGTAACTAAAACAAGACAAATCAATTCCCCTGATTCTTCCTGGCTAAGCCACAAAGGAGTTCCAGCTCAAGTACATATGGGGATTGAGCGGTCAATAGGAGTTACTCCAAAGTCAGTAAGAAAATATGGGTTATTTCACAGTGTCCAAGAATAATAAGCCATTTGCAGAAAAAAGAAAACAAAGTTGGATATTGATTTCATTCATTAAATTATTTTCAAGGCTAAAATATACATTAAAAAGAAAACATGGGTTTTTTTTTTAAAGCAACACTAAATGAGAAAGGTTGTTAAAATGTATGTGTGTGTGCATGCGTGTGCGTGTGCATTCATGTATGTGTGTTTGTGTTCATGCACTTGCTTTGGCAACACAGCTACTAAAATTGGAACAATACAGAGATAACTAGCCTTACACTAGTGCAAGGATGACACACAAATTATTTAGTGAAGCATATTGTTTTTGAAAATCTATATATTCATATATATATATCATATACATTCATATCTATATGGATATATGAGGCAGGGTCTGGCACCCTATGTAGCTCATTTGGCCATGAGCACCAAATCCTGCTGCTTCAAAGTCTCAGTTGCTGGGATTAGAAGCCCATGCCATAATGGCTGTTTCAAACTATATTTAATATTTCATGACTAATAAAATGATGATGAAATGAAAAATTATATATGTTACATTTTGTATAGTAAGGGATTGTTTTTAATCTTATTTAAAATCATGAAGTCTTCAATGTATAAAAAGTTTTGTCACACTAACAATTAGGAAATGAAATGAGGAAATAGCATAGAGAATTAATATCTATAAACATATATACTTTTAGAAATGGAGTTAAATATATTAAAACAAATTCCTTTAAACTACACAATTTCAAATTAATTCTTTGTTAAAAGATAATATATTTTGCCTAGTAGTCTACAAAATCTTTCTGATTGTAGAGTTTTTAGAAGTCAAGGACACCCACTATAGAAATCAGTGTGTCAGTCAATGAAAAAGCTAAAAACACCATGTGACCCGATTTTATACTCCTGGGCATATACCTAAAGGACTCTATATCCTGCTACAGAGATACTCACACATCTTCGTTCACAGCTAGCAAATGGAATTAGCCTAGATGTCTATCAGCTGATGCGTGGATAATGAAAATGTGGTACCTAGACAAAATGGAATTTTATTCAGAAGTAAAGAAAATGACATTATGAAATTTACACACAAATGGATAGAACTGGAAAATATTTTACTGAATGAGGTAACCCAGATCCAGAAGGAAATATGCCACATTTTCTTTCATATGTGAGTCCTAGTTTCAAATTTTTTGATTTGTGTGTTTAACTTATAGCACCTGTAGAGGCCAGGATGATAAGACTCTGTTGCTGAAAATACCACACATTTTGACTGCAGGACATAGGGAAATCAAGCTGGAACTGAGATGGAAGCTTCTTCCTGGCTAGCTAGCTTATAAGTGCCAGAAGGTCCTATGCCAGATGCTGAGGGAGAAGTTATCAACAATATTACCTAGATGTAAAGAGTTCAGTCTAAAACACTGACCTGCTAGGCAAGATAGGCCCACTGGTGCAATAATGGCATGATTGTTATGAGAGTAATCAACCACTTTGTGATTGGATTTTAGGCCTAAAATGTATGCTTTTAATGAAAAAGGAAAAATTGAGAAAGGTGTAAACACACGCCATTATTTGTTATTTTGTTTTTGGAGTCTTGGTATATATGTTATTTTATACATACAAAATCATATTAAATATTAAAAAGACAAGTTTTTCAGGAAGTCAAAAGTCTAAAAGTACTAATATTGCCATTAGGAAATAGACAAAGTGCTATCTGAATAAAAGTTTACTCATAAAAATGATCAGTAACTCAAAGAGGATACACACAAGCAGGTGAAGTCAATCCAGGACCTGGAAAGACAGTCAGCAACATAGAGGAATAAAGGTGTTAAAGGGTCCAGCACACCATGATTCAGAAGTCATACCCATTTCCCAAGGTTCAAAGATGCTCAGAGGAAAGTGAATTATTAGGCAACAGATGGAATGTGGTTATTTAGTTTTTAGCACTGTACAAGGAGCAGACCAGCCAACCAGGGGATACCTTTCCAGGTGACCAGGTGCTGCCTAGTATCAGTTGTTATTGTAAGCAGTTGGCTTCAAAGTAGTGCAGTTCCAGGGATCTTAGGAAGATAGAGAAACAGGTTCAAAAGGAATAGGAAAGTCAGGCTATTAAACAATAGCTTAAGGTGGTGATCGAGTGTTGAAAGGAGGCATCAAAGTAACTTAGGCAGCCAGGAAATACCAGTGCTTGAGAGGCTGGGGAAGGAGAATTGTCAGCAGTTCAAGACCAGTCTAGGCCACATAGCAACTCCTTGTCTCAAGGAAAAAGTAATTTAGACAAAGGTTTCTACATTTTTAGAATCGTGCCCGTTTCTGTGATAGTTTGTCATCAAGCTTGTGCCACGCCCTCCCTCCTGGAGATTCTGATTCATTGATTTTGTGCCTAAACCTAAACACTCTCAGCATGGGATTATGAGGTGCACCCAAGATTGCAGTTTCTGGATGACAAGAATGGAAAAATAAAAGCAAGCAAGGTGTGCATGTGGGCACACATGGATGATGAATGCTGACACCCGGGGGAAGGAAGAAGGTGAGGAGCAGCAAGGCCTTTGCTGGACAGAAAATTCAGGGTTCTCTGTTGAAAAGGGGACAAGGATTGTTTGATCAAGGGAGACTGAAGAGGATTTCCAACTGGTATATATCTTTATGTAGAAAGGTTTGCTGCAGGCCTTCTTAGGGAATTCAAAGGAAATACTGATTACATCTCCATAGCAACAGGCTGTCTTACTCTGTCTCTGCCTCTTTACTTTCTTACACTAGCCTTCAATATTCAAGCCCTCATAGATCTAAGCAGACCTCAGTCTCTTTATAAAATAACTAAGCTTTCCTTTTTCTCCTACTCAAATGCCTGTAAAATACATAAATAAAAAATATGTCCTCAAATTAAGAGCTCACTGATCAAGTGGATAAAACCTATGTCTTGTGGCATAGTCTTACAAAAAAAAAAAATCTTTCTCAGAAATAAACGTTTTCCAGTTGTGTTAGCCTGTAAATATGCTGTCTTCTCTACCCTTTCCCCTAATGATATGGATATGTTCATTCCCCAGTCCTCAGATCATGTGAAACCTATTAAGGTATGCTTCGTATCAAACTATTACCTTATATAGCTAA